GCGAGAAATCACCCCCCCCAGGGGGGATGGTCACGCCGCAATCCCTTCTCCTCCATTCTCCTCTCGGGATCTTGGGCATGCACGCACACGCGCCTGGCGTGAGTTTGAAGCCACCGGGTCCGGGACACGAACTGCGGTCGACAACGTGGGAGTCCAGCGACATAGCCATTACACTAACTGCTGGTTCCCGGAATGGGATAATATTTTTGTAAATATGCCTCAGATAAGGGACTGATAACCAGAATACAAAGGGAACTCTAGAAGCTTACCCAAAAAGAAAAAAAAAAAAGATCAACCCAGTTAAAAGATGGGAAAGTGAGCTGAACAAACAACTCTCTAAGGAAGACATAGGAACAGCCTAAAAGCATATGAAAAATGCTCAATATCTCTCATCATAAGGGAGATGGAAATCAAAACCACAATGAGATATTGCTAACCTCAGTTGAAATGGTTAAGATTAAAAAAAAAAAAACGATAAGTGCTGGTGAGGCTGTGGGGAAAAGGGAACTCATCATGGAGAAAAATATGGAGGTTCCTCAAAGATCTACAAATAGAACTACCATATGACCCAGCAATTCCACTCCCGGGTACTACCCAAAGGATAGAACACTCAGTCAGAAAAGTGCTTACACATCTATGTCTATTGTGGCATTATTTACAATTGCTAAAACATGGAACCAACCCAAATGTCACTGAACAGACATTTGAAAAAGTGTAGTACATATACTTTGTAGAATACTACTCAGCCATAAAAAAAACAAGACCCTGGCATTTGATAGAAAGTGGATGAATATGGAAGACTTACTGCTGAGTGAAGCAAGCCAGACTATGAAAGAGAGACATTGTATGTCTCCACTTAATATATACTGACTCTGCACTGTACGGTGGAAACTGAAAGACTGAAGTATATAGAATCATGGAAAATGGTTATGGATACTGAGACAGTATGGGAAAAGGGTGACATAAGGGAGAAAATGTGAGGAAAGGAAACAAGGAGAAAAATATAGAGGCAAGACATTTATGGAACACAGAAATGGATGATTATCTGTTGATGATAATGTATATAGTATCTTCAACTGGACTGGTGTGAAGTGTATTCATGTTTGGTAAATTCACTGTACAAGCTATAGTGATGTGATGTATAGTGATTGAATGTATTAAAAAAAAAAAAAAAGAAAGAAAGAAAAAAGAAATCCTGTACTCACTACCAGTCACTCCTCATTCTTCATCTCCAGCCCTGACAACCACTAATTTACTTTCTGTCTCTATGGATTTGTCTATGGATTTATTTCATATAAATAGAATCATACTATATTTGGTCCTTTGTGTTTGACTTCTTTCACTTAACATAATGTTTTTCAGGTTCATTCATGTTGTAACAAACATTAAGTCTATAGTGTATTATTTGAAATAAATTACAAGAAAATTTAATTTAAATTTCCTCTATTTGTCATGTAGCTCCTGAAGTTATCAAAAATGAGAAGTATACATTTAGTCCTGACTGGTGGGGACTTGGCTGTCTGATATATGAAATGATTCAGGGACATTCTCCATTCAAAAAATTCAAAGAGAAAGTCAAACGGGAGGAGGTGGATCGAAGAGTGAAGATGGATACCGAAGAGTATTCTGAGAAGTTTTCAGAGGATGCTAAATCTATCTGCAGGATGGTGGGTCAGACTCTGTAGAGGTTGGAAAATTAAATTTCTCACTCCTTCTAGTTGTTTTCACTGGCAGGTGAACAAAAAAGTAGTCATTTTGTCAATCTTTAGCAAGTGCCAGCTGCCTACTTCTCAGGCCCATCTCAGCTACTGCAGCCCACCAGGGAGGAGATTCAAGCTCAAGAGAGCTCACTGGGGCTTACAGTAAACTTGCCTCCTCCCTGCTGCTTGGGCCAGTGGATTGCATCTCAGGTCACACAAAGAGTGCAGCCAGTGATCTGGGAAATGACTTATAAGTTTCTGATCAATTAGAGCAAAGCAGAGTAAAATCCATTGTTTGCATCTCAAAAAATGCTATTAAAAAGGAAGAGTGGGGGACCAGCAGGTGGCATATTGGTTACCTTGCTGGACTCTCACATGGCCAACTGCAGTTTGAGTCCAGCTTAGAACTCACACCGGGTGCATGTGCATGAATGCTCAAAATCCCAAGAGGAGAACAGTGGGGAAGGCATTGTGACCATGCCATGACCTCCCCCAGGGGTGTGTGTGTGATTACTTGTTTTCTGTGTGTGTGTGTGATTACTTGTTTTCTGTCTCTCTGGCAAGTGCAAATACCCTATAGCAAAAATCTCTCTAAAAAAAAAAAAAAAAGAAAAAGAAAAGATAAACATTAGAAAAAAGGAGGGGAAGAGTGGTACCAAAGTTATAATTCTGTGTCTAGGAAACAGCTGAGCTTTGTTTCATTGATTAACTTTATATGAAATTAAACATAAAACTAATCTTTTAATATTTAATTTTGAGATAGTAAGATTTTTTTTTCTGCTCATGTTTTAACTAGCCCCCCCCCACACACCTTTATAATAGAGAGAGAAGTATCTTTGACAGGGTCTTGTCATATTGCAATAATCCTCTTTCGACCTCAAGCTCCTCAGGATTCTGGGCACCCATGTGCACACCTGGCATATTTTCAGGCCATCCTGGGGATCTGAACCTCTTGTTGACCAGATGGCTTACAGCCTTGAAGGGCACTTGAATTACCACTGTGCCACAAGGCTGGGTTTTTGTTTCTTCCTTCCCCAGCTTCCAATGATTGTAGTCATAATATACACTTTGACTTGAAAGCCTGCCACGTACCTGGCTCTGTGCCGGCTGTTTAGTTGTGTTAAGGGCCCTCCAACATAATGCTGGCATCTGTCTGTCTCAGTGAGATGAGGCCCCAGGAGATGTAGACCTGGTCCACAGTAACAGAGGGAACAAGGAGCAGTCAGATCTTGCTGCCCTCAGGGCTAGACTATTGTATCACCCAGATGCTAAGAAGAGAAGCTCTCTTTGTTAGTTATTTATTTAAACCAGTGTTTATTATTTTAAAACATTTTTAAAAATTATTTATTTATTTATCCACTCATTTATTTTTTAATTTGACCAGAGAGAGACACACAGAGAGGGAGAGGGAAAGTGAGAAAGCAAGCCACCAGGTCCGGGACTCGAACCGTGGTCGGTCATGTGGGAATGTCCAGCACCTTTAACCACCACGCCACCTGCTGGCCCCTTAAAACATATTTTTAAAATTTATCAAGGATTCCTTGAACATTTTCTATGTGCCAGGCACTGTCTTAGGTGCTGGGGATTCAGCAGTAAGAGACCTTACTATTAGGTTGTCGGAAAAGTCATGATGTATTTTTGCATAGAAAAAAATACATCATGACTTTCCTGACGTCCTAATATTTTCCCACCTCCAGTGCTCAGATTCTGTTGCAGGGCAGGTGGGAACTGACTGTAAATAAAACAAATGAGGCAGGTATGTGGGCTGTTTAGAGGGTGACCTGCACCCCAGTGGACAGCAAAGGGGAGAAGCTGCAATTTTAGATAGACTGAGAAGATGATGCAGGCAGCAGGTTGTGGAGGAGACTGGGATCAGACCTGCCAGGCAGAATGCCATGTGTCTGCAGCACCACAGCTCTGGTGGCTGGAATGGCAAGAACGAGGCGAAGGGCGCAATAGGACAGAGAGAGCAGAAGGCCTTGGGCTGCACTGAACTATCAGCCAACAATGTTGTTGGCCTTTAGGCCTCGGGTATTGTTTATTCTGATGGTCATGAATCCATCGCAGGGTTCCTTGAAGAATGATGTGAGGGGACTCAGGACTGCCAGCAGGTGGGAAGAGAGAGGATGGGCTGGAAGGAGGAAAGACTGCTGGGGTCTTTGCAGCAATTCAGGTGAGTGGAGGATGCTTAGGTCTCAGTGATGTCCGAGCAGGGTGAAGAGTGGTCAGGTTTCTGATGGATACTGAAAGTGTAACCCACAGGATTTGCCAATGTGGTGGGGAAGTCCAGGCTTGTCCCAGATGGTGGCCTGAGCAGAAATGCCAAGGAAGGCAGAGAATCATAGCTTTCTCTCTCTGTCTTTCTCTGTCTCTCTGGTGAACACACATGTCCTATAGCAAAAATTTCTCTCTCTTATTAAAAAAAATAAAAGATAAAGGTACTGGTAGGCCTCGTGTCTAGTGAGAGCCTGCTCTTTGCTCCAAAGATGGCGTCTCCATGCTGTCCTCACCTACTGGGAGGGGTAAGCTCCGGTGGGCCTCTTTGATAGGGCACTAATCCCATTCATGAGTGCTCTGACTTCATGACCTAATCACCGCCTAAAGGCCCCACCTGTAATACTTGGGTCTTCAGAAAAACCATGATGCATTTTTGCATAGAAAAACATGTCATGACTTTTCCAATGACCCAATATTACATTGGGGATTAAGTTCCAGCATTCAAATTGTGTGTGTGTGTGGGGGGGGCGGCGTGGACACACACATTGGACCATCTATAGCCACTAGTAGGTGTGTGTTGGCATAGGTCATGAAATCCCTGAGCTTTATGAATTGTATTTGACATTATACTTGGTTTTAAATGAACAAAGTTTGCAAAGTATGAATTCATTGAGCAAATCTAATTGAGCACCTGCTCTGGCTAGGTGCTAGGAATACAGCAGTGGGCAAGAGAGTCACATAGCCCTGCCTCCAAAAGCTTTGATACTAGCAAGACTGGCAATTAACAATTAACCAAATAAGTTACCACATCCATTGTATCAGAAAGGGTTCTCTGAGGCTGTAATATTAGATGGGGGTTGGAGCACTGGGGAGAGTAGTTTTTCTAGTTGCAGGGGCTGACAAAGGTGTGACCTCAGGAATTTTCAGGAGTTGGAGAGGCAAAGAGTTTTCCCGATATAGGCCTTGTAAGTGGGAGGTCTAGGGATCAGCAGTTGGTGTAATGGCTATTTTGCTGGACTCCCATGTAGTCGACTGAGGTTCGAGTTCCAGGACTGGTGTGGTGGCTTAAACTCATGCCAGGTGTATGCACGTGTGTGCCCGAGAGGAGAATGGAGAAGAAGGATTGCAGTGTGGCCATCCCCCCTGGGGTGCGATTTCTCAATTTCTGTCTCTCTGTCTCTCTCTGTCTTTCTGGTGAGCACATGTGTCTTATAGCAAAAACCTCAAAAAAAAAAAGAAAAGAAAAGAAAAGAAAGAAAGAAAGAAAGAAGTGGAAGGTCTAGAGCTCCCAGTCAGGACAGTATGTATGGGTGGGAGGTGGCACATTAAAGATTAACTGGGACCAGAATACCTTCTGATTTGGGGTCTTCAGTTATATTCAGAAAAACTGTGTATGCTATGCAGGGATCAACAAACTTTTCTGTAAGGGGCCAAATAGCAAATATTATTTATTGTTTAGACTTTCTGTGTCTCTATCAGAACTATTCATTTTTGCTACTGTAATGTGAAGATAGCCATAGGCTACCATAAACAAATGGGCTTGACTACGTACCTTATTTACAAAATCAGGCCACTGGTGCATGTGGTCTCTGGGCTGTAGCTTCCTGGCCTCTGGTCTAGGCTGTACTTTAGAGGTACAAATGCAGACTAATGTTTTAGGGGCCCCACTACTCTCGGTGTTTACTATTTAATATGCTGCTTGTGAGTACAGCCTAACTTCTTTTGATTGATAATAATCGTGGAGAAGCCATATTTAAATTTGCAATAATTGTAAATATATATGTAAGGAATACTTTTTAATTTTTTAAAGGAATATTTTTTTAAACAATTATTTTATTTAATTTTATTTCTAATTATTTTCCAGTTTGATCAGGGAGAGACAGAGAGAGGGAAAGTGAGAAACCAAGCCACCAGGTCCAGGACTTGAACCATGGTCGGCCATGTGGGAATCCAGCACCTTTAACCACCATGCCACCTGCCAGCTCCTTTAAAGGAACACTTTTTTAAAGAGACCTTTTGTATTATTATTATTTTTTTGAGATTTTTTTTTTTTTTTTTTTTTTTTTTTTTTTTTATAGGGCACCTTACTTGCCAGAAAGACAGAGAGACAGAGAGACAGAAAATAAGAAATCAACCCCTAGGGGGGATGGCCACGCTGCAGTCCTTTCTCCTTCATTCTCCTCTTGGGATCTTGGGCACACACGCACACGTGCCCGGCGTGAGTTTAAGCCGCCAGGTCTGGGACTCGTACCGTGGTCGACTACATAGGAGTTCAGCGACACAGTCATTACGCTAACTGCTGGTCACCCTTTGTATTAATTTTAACAGTGTACAATTTTGGGCCCAGCAGGTGGTGTAGTTGAACTTCCACATGGCCCAACCACAGTTCAAGTCCTGAACCTGGCAGCTTGAATAATCACTCTGGGCACATGAGTGTGTGTGCCCAAAATCCCAGGTGGAGAATAGAGGAGAAGGGATTGTGGTGTGGTCATCCCTCTGTGGGGTGATTGATTTCTCACTTTCCCTGTCACCATCTCTAGCAAGCATGTGTGTCTATGGGAAAAAAACTTAAAAAAAAAATACACAATTTCTAGAACTAGGTTTGCTTAATTTTCACCTCATCTGAGGTGTTTAGTGATCTATTTAATGAATAAATTGAAATAGTTTCTAGTTATAAATAAAACTTGCATGTAAACTCTTATCTCTGTGGTTCTCAAGGGTTTGTTTCCTTAAAATTATTTTCTAATTTTTACATGATTAAAATTCTTTTATTTAAGGATTGACCTAGCCAGTCCTTTATTTATCATTAGATCAATGGCAGAACTTTAGCCCAACTCTTTTGTGGAGCATCACATAATTTAATTAGTAAAATCTGAATTGGTTTCGTTTAATCAATATTTATAAATTAGAGTGACTGTATTTGTTTGAATTTATATTTCTACCACCCCTTATTCATTTATTATTATTCTGTAGGGGATTTTTTAATTTAAATTTTTACCCTAGAGTTTAAAATGACTCTATTTCTGCCTCTTGTGTAGTTACTCACCAAGAATCCAAGTGAACGACTGGGCTGCATGGGTGACGGGGCCGCTGGAGTGAAACAGCACCCTGTGTTCAAGAACATTAACTTCAGCAAGCTAGAAGCAAATATGTTAGATCCCCCTTTCTGTCCTGATGTAAGTAAACACCGAGAGTAGTGGGGCCCCTAAAACATTAGTCTGTATTTTTTAAAAGCAGAGACAGAGGCCAGCAGATGGCATGATGGTTAAGGTGCTAGACTCCCACATGGCCGACTACAGTTTAAGTCCCGGACCTGGTGGCTTGCTTTCTCATTCGTGCATGTACCCTATAGCAAATTGAAAGGTAATTATACATAAAAATAAATAAATAGTTCTAAAAAAAACAGAGAAGGAAAAAAGCAGAGACAGAATCACTTGGTAAACCAGGCAGTGCCTATCTTACCTAGTTTTTCCTTCCATCTCCTGATACCAGCCCTGAGATCATAGCTCCTCACCAGCTCTTACATCTTCCTACCAGCTCTCTGTTGTAAGGGCCCGCGGTCTGCTAGCGGTCGTCAATGCTGGTGGAGCTGGGCTCTACCTCCTCAGAAGCCGCAGTACCACTTGGAGTTGTCCTCAGCATGCCCTACAAGGCCTTCCATGTTTCCAGTGTCCCTTTCCAATCTCAGTGCTCTTTTTACCTCTCATTCTTGTGTGTGTCACCTTCTCATGCTGCAGTGCATGCCTGTTTTTGGATTCTGGAATTCTTGTCCCAACTTTGATTTTCATAAAGTACTGGGACACTGAGGAGAGCCCTGGAGCAGTCACTGTCTCCTTATGAGCATACTGTTGGAACCAGAGGAGGTCATGACTCCCAAGTGCTTGTCCCAGGGCCTGCACTTGTCAGTGCCTGGTGGGGATTTCAGGAGGCAGTAAATGAATTTCTGACTGGTTTTATCCTTTTTTTTTTTTTTTTTTTTTTTTAACGTTTTTTTCATTTGGGACACTAAGTCAT